CATTTTTGTTTTCAGATCATTCAAGGTGATTTGGCCCAGAGAAATAAGAACTGTCATAACAACAGGATTAAAAACAGGAGTTTCGGCAGAATCAGGTGTTCACAGTCAGGGCTTTGGGCTTTTTTTCTAAGGCAGCAGAAAACAAATATGTGAGCCGAGGTCCATGCCGTGCTTTGTAAATCTGTCCTTAGACACGGATGGATGTCATTTCCTCCAGCTGTCTGGTCTTAATGAGGCTCTGGATGAACTGCAGACGATAATCTGAGCTATGTTTTGAAGGTCGGTCTTCTTGGTTCCATAATGTCTCGACACAACTGCCCGTTTTGTTTTCTTCCAAGTTTTGAGGGTTTAAGGACGGATTACTCTGTCAGCGCTGGGCTCCTCCTTAAATCTGTGACCTTAAGTGCGTGCAGCCAGGGCTGGACGTTACGGGAAGACGGCTTTGACCTCCTCAGTGCACGACTCTTATTAGCTCTGCTGCTGAATACAAGTGTTTCTTGTTGTTGTATGTTTCTGAGCCCTCCTGGTTTCCCAGCAGCCCCTGTGTCTGGTTTTTGTTAGACATCCAGGGAACGTGTCTGTGCCGACAGGAGAAATGTTTGGCTGGTCAAACTGGGCTGTAAACGTTCATTATGTTGTGTCTTCAGTCTGTTTGACTGTTAGCAGCTCTGTGAGTCAGTGAGGTTGTGCTCGTCTGCCTCAAGAAGTTTGATTTATCGTCTTCACCTTTATTTTATAGCAAGAAAAGAGAGTTTATTTGAGAGCAGGAGCATCACATCACCAAGATTTACTGAGCAGTGACAGCAGCGAGGATCAGACACCAGGAGAAACTGAGGGGATTTGAGGCGGGTTGCAAAGCAGCTGGCAGACAGGCCGCTGTAACGTTGACTGTTTTAGGGGAAACACTCTGTATGTTTGTGCCTTTGAGAGCTAACTGTGCTGGAGCAAAGACCTCAGAGCCTTCGTGGAGCTTTAATGGATTTTTATTTTTAGTTGAAAGTGTTCATTCTGCCGTCAGCTGACAGTCTGCTTTCACCGCGTTGTTGACCTTGTTTTTATTTGTTTGCTGTCGTTGCAGTTTGGAGCAGAGACGCAGCAAAGCAAAGTGGCTCCCAGCTCTGCAGCCACCAGACCGATCCAGTCCAGCAGAGAGCAGGTAAAACCCCGCACACCTGTGGGAGGGAAACAGCTGAGCGAGAGGACGAGGACAGCCTGACGGACGAAGAACAAGCTGCTCTTCAAGTCTGTGGATGATCTGTGGGCTCGTTTCTCTGGAGTGTGCTTTTATCTTTTAGATAAACAAGCCTCAAATATGAAGGCAATCTATATTCATATACATGTTTTTGTTTCTGGTGTAAAAATGTTGATATTCTGTAATTTTTCCAAGAAGATGAGCTGATTAGTTTAAGACGAAGGTTAAATCAACATTCAGAACACCTAAAGCCGAGGCAGTCGTCGTTCACTGAGATATGAGTTAGTAAAAGTTCAGTTCGGTCAGTTTTTATGGGAACTTTGAGCCATTTGCTCCGTTTTATAACCAGGTTTGGAGGTTTGAAACTGACTGTCAGATTTCAGTAAATAGTCTGGTCCCAGCTGGACTGAAAACTTCCTGGAAAAACCTGAACTTTTCATGTCCTCTGATCATCTGGTCTGTGTGTTTTCCAGGGAGGGAAGAGCGAGATATTTGTGGACGTGATTGAGAGGATGACGGTTGTCCTCGGCTCCAACGTGAGTAACATCAGCGCGAGAAAAACAGTCACACCCGAAAAGCTTAAAAAGTTTCAGACTTGCAACAAATAAGAGTGAATAATCTGAGGAATGTGTTGGTGTCAAAAAACATTTAATTACAAAAGATTTCTGAAATGAATCAAACAAAACAGAGAACTTTGTGCAGAG